TTACTTATTTCTATTTCTATTTGTCCTTCTGACTTAAAGTTAGGGAGAAAGACACAAACGCTGGGGAGACGTTGTGCACCCAGCAGGGACGAAGCCGGGAGAATCCTTTGCCACGGGCTCATTCACGTGTCAGGCCAAGCAGATTTTTTTTTTTTTTTTTTTTTAGTGCAGGTGTCTAGTTTTCACCGTTTGCTGAATTTACTGATCTGATTGGAAGGGAAGACAGGCTTCAGAAAAAACAAATCCAATCTCTTTTTAAGCAATATTCGATTCGAACATTAAATGTAGCATATTCTGGCTCAGCATTATCCTTGTCCTCTTTTTGTACCTTGTAGAAAAATATTTAAATACAAGCTAACTAATTAGCATAGCTTTCAGAACTTTTGACTGGGAAGTGCTAATGCTTTACTTTGGTAATAAGACCATTAATGTCGTTAAGTACTTGAATTTCTTAAATAACATTTGTGGATGTCCAAATAGGACAGAGTTTGTAAATGCCTTTCTGCAGTTTCATCCAAATTTTTTTCTTTTTTGTTTTCTTTATGGTAGCATTGGGAAGTGCGCCCAAAGGGGTTAAAAGTTAGATGAAGTTCATGCCACCTGCCTTATGCATATTACTTGAAGTAGTGGGGAACCTCCTGATAATGAGAGCAGTGCATTTGGAGATCTTGTGAGTTTATAATTGATAATATGTACAGTTAAACCCTTATATAAAGCTTAATTTTCCCACCCAGTGATCTATATTTAGGATATGGAATTAAAGGAATTTAGTTATAACTGCAGTTAACTATTCAAAAATTTTTAACTGTATAGGAAAGTAGCCAGATGGCTTTTTTATTTCCTGTATATAGAGCGCTAATATTTAAGTTCTTTAGTTAGAAAAAATTCCCTTCTTATCCAGGCCTGGTGGCACATGCCTTTGATGCCAGCACTCAGAGGCAGAAGGTCAGCTGGATCTATGGGAGTTCAAGGCCAGCCTGGTCTACATATAGACCAGGACAGCCAGAGCTATAATGGAGAGATCCTCTCTCAAAACAAAATAAAACCTCCTTTCTCTTATTTCCAAATTACTGGCTTTAACCCCCTTCTTTGAAAGTGCGTTTCCCTGTTTATTTAGGAGATCCCTAATGTGTCTGCCCTGCTCCCCACAAGAGGTTTTAATAGGAGATCCCCACAATGACAGGTGTTGGTGCTCTGAGGCTAGAGAGCAGTGGAGAAGGAATGGTGGTGGTGGGCTGAAGGACAGAAGGCCCGATGGTCACACCCCTGTAACCATCGTAAGAGGTGTGCTACCTCTTACTTCCTATCTACTGGAGCAGAGTGTTGAGGTCCAGTCTTAGTTTGTAGCACTCCACATCCTTCTTTTCCCCTAAGGATTTCAAACGAATTAAATCTTTACCTTTCCATTTTGATAATGAAGGAAACTTCAATTAAAGTAGGGTTAACTTAAAAAAAGAGGATGGACTTGGAGTTGTGGAACAGAAGTACATTTAGGGAAGGCCCAGAACTGCCCCTCAGACTGGAAATTGTATGTAAGGCCTGTTATGTACCAGGCAAGGGTTCCACCACCAAGCTACAATATCCCAGTTCTCTTTTTTTGAGAGAAGTCCTCACATAGATTACCCAGGTTGATAACACTTGAGCTCTCTCTGTAGTCCAGACAGGACTTGTATTTATTTTGTGGTCCTTCTCCCTTAGCTTCTCTGATAGCAGCCTTAGTCCTTTGTACTTTTGTTTACGCACAAAACGCATAGCCTTGTTAATTTAGAAAAGAAGTCGATTATAACATTCTGCATATGTGGCTGCTATTGTGCATTTTTATTACTGCATTTGAGCACTGAAGCAGCTCATTCATTACTGTTCCGTAAGTCTGAATTACAGGCTTGGAGGAAATCATGTTTTCAAGAGCTCACAGTGAATTTGGCTTTTAAAGCATCAAAATTTAGCTCATGGTAATAATAACTTACTAGTATTGTTGAGACAGGGTCTTGCTGCTGTTTCAGCTTCCTGAGTGCTGGGATTACAGGTGTGTGGTACTGCATTCCTGGCTAGCTCAAAGAATTATCATTACTGTTTGTTAGCAAGACATTTTTAAACCTTTGAACGCTTAGAATATGAAAGTTGGGTGTCCTGATACACACTTGTAATTCCAGCACCTAGAAGGTTGAGGTGGGAGGATTGTTAAATTTCTGCTGAGTTTTCTGTTTAGCAGAAAACATTAGCTTGTAAATAACATGCTAGAGATTATGAAGCTAAGAATACAGCTTTCTTTCTTTTGAATTAATCTGCAGAATGTGAATGATTTTTAGTCAGAAACATGTATCAATTTCCTCGTATTTTCTCAAAGGATTTTTCTGTCCTTTACCACTATATTGAAGATTACTATATCAGGAGATCTTTTGTTCCAGAATTTTGTGGTAAATTCCTTGTCATTATCCTGAGTTGAATGAGTTATCCCATGGCCATTTTTGTTACTTCTGATACAATGAGAGAAAGTGGGCTGGAGAGACGGCTCAGCTGTTAAAGGCTAGGCTCACAATCATAAATATAAGAGAAAGTTTGCCCTTACTTTAGAAGACCCCCTGAGCCTCAAAGCTTGAGTGAAGTAGCAGTGGACTTAGTCATTATGAGATACTCTACTTGTTGCTGTTCTAGGTGCTCACTTCTTACAACTTAACTGTGTGGACTGCACTGGGGCTGTCTTGAGTGTTTCTTGGTAGCCTTCTCATATGAGCCACTGTCCATGCCCTGCTCAGAGACGGCCAAGGGCATGGAGGCCATGCTAAAGGGGCCTCGTCCCCTGTCTCATCTTTGTTTTTGAAAAGAGAAAGGAAAGGGAATGGCTTTACATGATATCTTCTTTAGAAAATTTCAGTGCAGTTGGAGAAGAAATTTCAAATCTCATTCTTTAAGGTAATACATGAAGGAAAAGTGTAAGAGTGGGTTTGCAGTGGTTATGCCTGGAGAAAACTAGAGGTGAATTTTGCTTGTATATTGGAGTCATTTAATTAACAAAAGCCGTAGTATATTTTTCACCTATCAAAAGAACAAATAGTAAATCTTTACCTTAAATAATAAAGTCTGCATTGGTGATGAATTTCTGTAGGTTGTTTTTATATCTGGTTATGCTAGTGTAGACCACTTGGCCCCATGATATGCTTCATTTTTCTTGCTAGGCTGACTACAAGGTAGAAAGGAAAATTCATTGCACTTTAGTTGTATTTACCTCATTTTCTGAGTTCTGAAAAGATTCTTTTATCATCTTTCTAAAAATTGACCAATCTGTTTTTAAGATAGAGTATTTGTAGTATTGGCAGCCCTGGACCTAGAAGAGGCTAGTCTAGAATTTGGAAGAGTCCTCTTGCCTCTGCCTCCCCAGCCTTTGAAGCAAGATAACAGGCATGAGCAGCACAGCTGGCCTGTCTGTCCTTATTAGGGTACCTAAGTCTGTGGTGGTCTTTTGACCTTGGCACCCTTTGCTTACCAGTGTAGGACACACACTCTTAAGAGTCACTGGAATACCCAATGCCTTTCCTTGTTCTACATTGTGCCTAGTTTTGTATTCAGAGTGGACGATTTGTATGAGTACAGAACTTTTTATAGTAGAAGCCATAAGTTGGTTGAGACAAATGATAAAGGTAGAATAACGTGAAATTTGTTTGTGGTTTTTAAATTTTTTCTTCATGGCTCAGGAAAAATGCTTATGGGAAGCATTTGTAGAACATATTTCTTTGATTTCTAACACGACCCTCCCTCTGCGCCAGTGGTTTAGATTGCTTCCTAGCTTTGTGCTGCTGATATTTGGGGCTGTATATTTCCTTGTAGGTCATTTAGCAGCATCTCTGCTTTTACACACTAGCTGCTGTGTAGCACTCTCCCTGTTGGTGCCATCCATCTCTGTCTTCAGGCATTATCAATTATCTCTTAAGGGAGGAGTAACATAATCTTGGTTGAGAATCATGGATTTAGGTTTCATTAGTCTAACAACACTTTGTACTTTGCCTCCTAATAATGACTCTTTACCCAGGTTACAAGCTCAGGGAGAACAGTGGCTGGCACTGATCCTCGGTGCACAACCCAGCATTTAGAATATAGTGTAGAACCCACACGAGCCTACCCCACAGGAATAATGGCTTACCAGTGACTGGTAAAAGCCCTGGACATGTGCTTTTAAAATGCGCAGAGGGTTTCTTTTCTTTAACTTGGGTATTCTGTTAGTGGGAAGAGTCTTTGACTAATAAGTACAGTTATGTTTATGAGGACTGAGTATGCCTAAGCATTGCTTTAAAGGTAATTTTTAGGGCATTGTAGAAATATAGTTTAGGTGAAAAATTTTAAATCAGATGTCTTAATCTATTTTTGATTTCACTTAAGTGGGACGGGGGTCCTTCCCCATTGTGGGTTTCAGTTAGGGCAGGTAAGAGTTTTATGTTGGGGAGTAACTGTGTTCAAGCTGTCTTGGATTTACTGCTTTAAAATGATTATACAGTAAGTTCTTTTCTTACTCACAGTAATTCAAATTTAGACTACAAGAGTGGCTCACATTAAATAGATTTTTGAAACTGCATGATTTGAGTGTGTATAATCTCAACCATTCAAGGTCACACAAAAAATTATCACTGTTGAAATCCATGTATTTTTAAACCATGGCGTTCTAGACTAGCATTGTTTGTAAGATTAATTCTGTTGATATTTAAGGGACATGTATATCTCCACTCCCCTGAACAGTCATGCTTTATGATTGTTTGCAATAGGTAATTTAGAGTTAATGTTGATTTTATTACTTTCATATGCAATTTCAGATACCTCTTTCTAGGGCCAGATTTGCTGTTAATGGACAGTTTCTAACTCATAGTAATATGACAAAAATATGAGCAACCATGACCTTGAACACTGGCTGAGCTCAAACTCTTTAGTGAGCTCATTTTGTCTGTTTGTGTTTTCTCAACGTCTTTCTCCTTTCTCTCAGGATTGTGCCTCTTCTCCTGCTTGTACAGACTGCTTTTCCAGCAGCATGGACACAAGAAGCATAGTAAGATGATTATAACCCACATAAGGCAGGCTCTCTGGGAAATGTCAGGCTTAGATCTTGGTAGTGAAATTCTGTATTGCTTGTATGGTAGTACTTGGGAAGCAGGTGGAGTGTGCCACTTATAACACATTAGTAATCTTACAAAGATCATGTAGAGAATAAAAAGCTTAATTGCTTTAAAAGAAATTTTGTTATTTCTTTAAAAATGGGGAAGGAAAAGTTACTGGGTTTAATAGTGACATATGTCATATATAAATTTGCATTAAATTTATTTGCATTCTGTTCTACATAATTTCACTACATTTTTGAAATTAATATGAGCTACTTACAGACCTCATAAAGTAATGGTTGGAAATAAATCAATGAGGTATGCTATAGGAGTAGAGAAACAAACTAGATGAGATTTGATATTTTCTGCTGGAGGGGTGAGGTCCGGCTAGATGTCTGAGAGTAAAGAAGCCAGGGCTGGAGCACTATCTGTAGCCTGTGATTGCTTTCAAGATTGTCTCAAATGATGGTGATAAACATGCTATTTGCTCTTCGTGATTCAGATTTTGTGTACTTATTTCATCTTTATCATTCTACATCATAAGAACTGATAAAACCAAATTAAGATGTAGGAATGGGTTTGTAAGTCTGGGTCAATGGGTCAAGAAGTACCTCAGGTTTTGGCATTACCTTATCATTAAGAGTGAAAAATAGACTGCTTATGTTCTCTGCAGACAGTGTCGACTGACGCATAGCAAGTGAGCTTTTAAAATGTGCAACTTAAATTATTTGTCATTTTTATAGGTTGATTTGAAAGGCCTAGGATTTCATTCTTTGATCTGTTGTAAGTTTCTTAGTAAATGCTTATCATACACCAGGAAAATGTCTCTCTTCTTAGAGACAGTGATACATGAGACAAGCAGAAGACCATTATTTCCCCTTGGGGCTTATGTTCTTGTAGCCCTTCTTTCCTCAGCCCTTGGTTCCAGCATTCTTCCTTGGCTGGGGGCTGCTGGGATCCTTTTTCAGGCCCAGCTCTTAGGTGGCAGTTTTCCCCAACAATGGGAAGTAGTACTGTTGAATTTTACTTGAAAATTACTCACACATTTAAAAACCCTTCATTTGATCTTTAGAATCAACTATTTGATCTTTAGAATCAAACTCTTGTAAGATGCAGCTTTAAGGGTCATTCCATCTGCAACTGAGATAGAGTTATTCCACGTATAGCTTCTGTTAAATGGCAGTGAAAGTTTAACTCTTAGAAAAGTAATAGATTTTGAAAAAGTAAAAGGTTTTTCTTGGTCTAAGTATGGAAAAAACTTGTTATCTTTGTTTAACACCTTCTGAATTTGGTATGTTCCTCAGAGCTCCTTTTCTTCCCCATAGCTAAAGTACAAAACACTGAAAGTCATATACTTTAGTGTGAAGCCTGGGGAGCAATGCTGATATCTCTGCATAGTGTACTGTAAAGGTTGCCCAAACTGGCTTAATGGCTTTCTTTAATTCAGTAATGCTTTTCAAAGTAATTCAAGTATTCAGTAAACAGACCTTTAATTAAAGTTTTTGTTTCTGTCCACTGAACCTAGTGTCTCAGGTATGGTAAGCGCCTTTTCATTGAGCCCCTCTGTCAACCACCGAGTAATTTTTAAAAATCTTTTTCTCCCCTTCACGTAAATCAAGTAAATTTTCTGCAGACAAAACATTTGTATATTAAATTATCTTTGTAACAGCTGTTCACTGTGATGGACAATGCCTAGCTTACATATTTCTAGTACTTTTATAGAAATGTGTGACTTTAAAAATCTTCCTGGATACCCAAGGGGGATTGATTCCAGGACAACACCCTCTCTGCCTTGCAGATCCCCAGGTTTTTAGATGTTCAAGTCTCTTACAGAAAAAGGCTTGTGATTTGCATATAGTCTATTTACGTGCTCCTGTACATTTGCAGTTATCTCTAGGTTACTTCTAATACCGAGTACAGTGCAAGCACTCTGAAGATTTGTTGTACCATATCATTTAGGGGAGAAAAAAAGTCAGCGCATGTTCTGTACAGTTTTTTCCTGATCATTTTTGATTTGTGCTTGCTGAACTCACTGATGCAGAAGCCACAGATCTGGAGGGCCATTTGTGCTTATTGTGTTACTCTCTTCCTCCTCCCAAACAGTTACCATGTTTCAGCCACACTTTAGAACTGCGTGAAAGCTTGGGTGGGTGCTATTCCATTTGTAGACGGGAAACTGAGGTCAACCATTGTGAATTGCACTTGTAGGTATTGAACAGGAACAGAAAGGTGTGTTTTATCCCTGTGCAGATTTCTTGCTCTTTTTTTTTTCTTTTCTTTTTTTTTTTTTTTTTTAATGATGGAAACAAAAATAGACCAAAAAGTAAAGCTTCTAGAAAAACCATTGTTCTTCCCTGTTGTATATCCTTCTTCAAACTTGACCTTGGCCTCTAGCTTCACCTTGTGTTTCAGAGCTTGGTCTCTGAAGTCATTATTATTATGACAACAGTTTTGTCTAAGAGGATATAGGCACAGTGTACCTTTTTGGCACGAGGTGATTGTAGTTGTAAACTTTCACAAAGGACTTGGTTTTTAATCTCTTGATGATTTTCTTCTTGCCCATGGTAGCTGTCACTTGAATTGACCAATTCCAGCCACCAGGGCATGTTTGTAAGGGCTGTGTGAGGTGCCATCATTGATGTAGTTTATGACGATGCCTTTGTTTCCAGAGTAACATCCAGCCTGGAGAGACAAGGTGCCTCTCAGAAAGTTGTAGATGTATAGGCCAGCCAGGTTTTAGGCCTGTAACTTTAGATACCTGGCTGCCACTAGGACACTGCCTACAGGTTCCACTTTACTTGGGTGAAGCCTCCAGAAGCTTAGAGTTCAAACTCGCCTGGCAACCCGCCCCCAGGGTGCCATGGTGGAGGATTGCAAGACCTTCTCCAGTCCTCTTCCTTGCCTTTTGTAAAGAAGGCCCATTGGTTAAATTTTTGGTACTTATTGCCATCATGTCCACATATAACATTCATTTTTTTCTTAATTATTTGAAACATACTTGTAGAAAAGTTGCAAGAAAAAAATTTTAGGTGCAGTGTTCATCCAGATTGTTTTTTAAAAAAGATTTGTTGTTTTATGTATCTGAGTGCTTTGCCTATGTGTATGTATGTGCATTGAGTAAGCATCTGACAGAAGTCAGAAGAGAGTGTCAGATCCCCTGTGAGTTAGAGATGGCTATGACACCTTGTGTGGGTGCTGAGGATTGAACGTGAGCCCTCTGTAAGAGGGACACATGCTCTTAACTGCCTAGCCATCTCTCCAGCCCCAGGTTCTTCATGTTAAACACATTTGCTTTCTCTCTTTATAACAACATAAACACAAACTTTTTTTTGTGTTTTCAGAGTAAATTCCAATTCAGAGTGCCAGTTATCTCTGAGTAGCTGTTTATTTTCTTTTTAAAGGATATTTGCTTAATCATAATACAGTATTTCCATTGAGAAGTTAACATAGATATTTTTGAAGATCTTTTCCAAGTTTCACTGTATATTGTACTTCAGTTTTTCTTATAGAATAATTTCTACCTCACATCTTAATGTTTGTCTTATTTCTTTTAATTCAAACAGCCACTCCTTTTTTCTATGAGGTTGGGGTGGTGGTGGTTGATAGCAGGGCAATTTAAGAATTCTCTGTATTTACTTGTCTGCTCTGTAGGTTCATGTTACCTGTCTTTGGCAGGAGTCCTTCAGAAGTACCGTTGTAAATCCTGACTTAGGAACATCTGTATCATTAGCAGGAATGGTGGCTCTTGGCTACAGGTTTCTTTGCTTTCTCTACATTTGTATCATGTCTCTTGTTGGAGAGATGTTTTGATGCACATATAAAAAACATCCCCCAGAATTTTCCCACTTGTTTTGTGTACATTCATGTCTTGCCTGGGTCAGTTAGTACTAATATAGTCACCGTGTTATTTGGTAAGTTTGTTATGACTGTATTTCTTTGCATCTGTGAGCTTTACTGTCTCCTTATTTTTGTGAATATAATTGTGTATATTGTTGTAAACTCATGGATTCTTTTTTATTCGTTGGCCTTTAAAAATCTTCCATGGTCAGTTTTTTGTTTTTTTTTTTTAAAGAAAGATTTATTTATTTACTATGTATACAGGGTTCTGCCTGCATGTGTGCCTGAATGCCAGATGGCAGCAGAGGGCACCAGATCTCATTACAGATGGTATGAGCCACCTTGTGGTTGCTGGGAATTGAACTCAGGACCTCTGGAAGAGCAGCCAGTGCTCTTAACCTCTGAGCCATCTCTCCTGTCCCCCCATGGTCAGTTTTAATTAATTGGAGCTTCTTTAAGCTGACCTTGGACACTTACATGTGGTAACCAGGTTTTGGATATTCTCTTATTTTCTGATATTGTAAGGTATTCCTTTCCAAACTCTTGCTGTTTCTCAGGCTTTGTGTGGTTGCTGTAAGTGTCAGCAGATAAGCTAGACATTTTATTTTATACATATACAAACGCAATTCTAGACACATCTACAAAGCCTTGAGCTCATCATATGTTCACAAGGTCCAAATGTATTTACAACAGTGGTTCTCAGCCTTCCTAATGCTGCGACCCTTTAATGCAGTTCCTCATGTTGTGGTGACTCCCAACCATAAAACTATTTTTGTTGTAACTTCATAACTGTCATTTTACTACTGTTACGAATTATAAACGTCTGATATGCAGGATATCTGATATGTGACCACCAAAGGGGTTGCAACCCACAGGTCGGGAACTGATGCTTTTATTCCCTCAGTCCTAAAGCACATAGACCTTGTTCCAGGAGTAAGGCTTATGTCTGTCCAGACACTGCTAGCTAAGAGGTAAGACTTGCTTGTAATTTGTTGTTCTGGTTAGCCTAAGAACATGCAGTTAAACAACCAAGTACAAATATTGTTTGTTTACTCTTTTTTCCTCTGTTAACGTGATCATTTGGAATATAATTAGGTTCTGGGTTTTTGTATTT